TGTTTCCCATCTTAGTTTCAAACGGATGGCTTTGTTTCTTTCATATTTGTCCTTGGCTACCTCTTTATTCAATAACATTTAGTTGTAACTAACCTGAGATGATGTTGGTCATCGAAGCTCTTCAAACACCTCCAATTATTTTAGCACACGAGATAGGATAAAAAGGGGATATAAAATAGGGTGCCGTGCTTGCAGGAATGCTATTGGTTCGTTTATAAACAATACATGCCATTGGCCAAGCAGGACTTGAAATAAACTGGAAAGTTAAGCTTTTTGTTTCCATAGCGCGCCTCCGCAATAATTAAGACATCTTCAATTAGCTAACTAAAGGTGAAAAAAAGTGTTTAAAAAACGTTTTACAATGGGTATAACTTGATTTCCTTAGTTTTTTTGCACATACAGTACATATGTAAAAATGTTAGAGAGACAAATGGCATCCTAGTAACGAAAAAAAGAACATTGGACGGTTTTCTTGCGCTGAGGTGGCTTTTTCCATGAAATTTAGATCTTTTTGCTGCTGGTTAATAATATTAAGTGTTTTGTATGAATAGCTGACGCATTTGGTACACGAAATGAAAACAACCAGCAGAGGTAGTCTGATTGACAGCAAACATTTTTTTCTGGTTTCATTGTGAATATGGGTCTTGTGTTTTAAACCTTATCAACTTCTTCCAATTCTTAAAGGTTTGTTTGTGCCATCAGATATGATCTGTCTAAAAGGAATTCTTGACGAATTTTCCATTGGTATAATTACATATCCTTACTGTCAAAATACTCATCCCGTTTCACCAATTCCTAAAAAGGATGGTTTTTATTGATTGGGATAGATTTCACTTCCTGCCTTAAGGGCCACTTTTTAAAACGAGGGAGTGTTATCCAAGCACGACAGTTACCATGGCATTTCCGCATATCTTCTCATTTTATGCGACGTGTTTACGTTTACAAGGCAGATAGGGTTACCCTGGCGCAAGGATAACCCGCGTAGCATAGCTTCAGGGTCATCCTACCTGCCTCGATAATTTTGCTATTCACATGCAGGAGACAGGGAAGACAGTACACTGCTACCTTACCTGTGTGGTAGTGCAAGTACGTTGTATTTGACTCCCTATAGTGTAATCATATGCGGCTCAAAAGTGGTTGAGAAGGGGTAGTTTTTCATTCTCAATAAATTGCAATAGGCCATTTCTGAGTTCCCTCGGGCCTCTGTATCAAAACGAGGTTAAGTGCTCAGCCTTTGATATGAAAATGATTTTCTATTCTCATGCAAATAAAACTCATTTTCACAACAAAGGTTGGCATCATTTTGAAAGTGAAGGTTTCCGGAACTCGAAAGTGGCCTATTGCTCAGTGGCTGTTCTTGTCTTAAAATACGGGGAGACTCGATCTGCCTAAAAGGGAAACCTTTTTCAGGCTTGAGGTGTATCAAAGTGTAGGAAATTCACGAGTTGAAGTATTAAAAGCAAAGAAATCATTAAAGTCATTTAAAAGAGTATTTAATTAAAATGCTTTGAATCATGCGCTTTATAGCCACAATCCTCGTCACAAATCTTGAAACACTTCTGTGATTTTTCCCTCCCCAATGTTGATTTGGGTTTGCAGTCAGTTCAGTGCTCCAAAATACGCTCGGCTCAACATTGGGAAAGAAGAGGGGGCGCATTTGAGTGAGAACAAAGGTGTGAAGAGTGAATGTAAGAAATTTGGAAAAAATTCACGACAAATGGCTTCTGTTTCCACGGTTTCTGACGAGTATTGCAGTTCCGTAGTAATTTATTAAACGTTACACGAAAATGACAAGCGATTTAATTATCATTATTTTAAAAGTAGGCATGTTGAAAGCGGTACCAATTTTCAAAAAATTCAAATTCTTGCAAGTTACCTAAATTTTTACAAAACAGTCGAACAGAAACGAGGGCCGATGTAACAACATAGGCCGTACTGGCATATGAAAATGGCTCCATACAGTTTTTCAGGGTCAATACCTGCCAAGTTTGAGCATAAACTACGTCGCCATAAACAAACATTTGGAAAAATTGCCACCACAGTTCTATTAGATAAAGATGAAAATTTGTTGTGATCAGGGTTGCAATGACATCGCAGTTGTCATAGCAACGAAATGAAGCCATTACCTATTATACTTGCAGCAATATTTCTCCGTGGAAACTGTTCTTCTAAAATCGATCACAGGAGCTTTTTCCTCCAATAGTCGCCTCGATGCTGGGGAAGTTAAAACGGAATCTGTAAGAGCATTATCGAGATATTTTGGGATAAAGTTTTTATCGTTGGAAATGCGGTAAAAAAAAAATGGAAAATCTTGATGTTTGGCCGTTATCTGTAGAAAACGATAGTTTCAATCTTTTTAACAACGTGGGTGAAAGATCATGAAGATAGCTCCGGCCAGTTGCTACAAAGAAGGATTTGATTAGTATGTATCATGGCGCTCTTATTAGCGGTTTTGTAAACATTTCAGTCTACTTTAACAAATTAGTGAATAATTTTTAAACCGCTCAATAGATTTTTTTAAAAAAAATTAAGATTCTTCTCGCAATTCAAACTGAGAATTAGTCAGCCACTTCTTCACTTTCAGACCCATTGCTGATGCTATCTGCCATACACTGTTCTACGAGCGGAGATGATCCTAGAAAGTTAGGCAGAAGTTTATTCTAATAAATTCACGAGTGGAAATAGCCCATTGCAGTACAGTACCCAACGATGAAAAAAAAAATCAGCATATGATACCCTTCCCTTATAAACAGAAACTCGTCACGTGCTTGGCAACAACTGTCTCGTGTGAATGTACCTGGATTATTACGCCCACTTCAGGTTAAAATAGAAAATATTTATCTCTTCAAAATAATAATAATAATAAATATGGAAACATCTTTAAAAGCTAGCTTTGCCCCAATTTTCTCTCGCTGCCCCAAAATTCTGAGTTGCCCAAAAATTGGAGGGGCTGCAGCCCCCCTCCCCCTTCCTGTCCGTACGCCTATGGCGTGTGCAATTTGTGGTCTTTGAAAAAATTTACGAGTGCTTATTTATTCCAAATTGCACGAGAAAAATACTTATTAATAATATTCATGAAAAAGTTGCGATTATATATAGCTTTAAAATCTCTTTGAAAGGGAGTCAACACGCGTAAACTACGTGCAAATTATTCAAATGCCGCAAATATCATCGCAAGTGCAGTCAAAACAACATTTTGCTCGATGTTTTTAAAGTTTGCAAGCCGCAGAAACGGGCTGAACAGTTAATGGAATTGTTCAATGTGTTTGAATTAAAGATTCTCGGTTATTACCTCGAGTTTTCCGCTCTTCCAGAGAATTTCTTCTTCCTTCTCTCATACTTGCCGAGCTTTGTTTGGGCTCTTACCACGGCCAGCCAAGCGAAGCTGTTTCGCTTTGTCCTCTAACACCTCTTTGGACGAACTAAATTCTCGGTCACGTACAATGGACAGGGTGCAGCCTTTGTTCTTTCAGTGTATATCAAGCGATTCCATCATTGCCTTAAGGCTTTTTGGTTCATAATCATCACCTTTTTATTTCGGCGTAGAAATGCTCGAGCAACTGAGTGTTAAGCTCAAGCGGGTCATAATTTGCTATTTCATCAGTAATTTCCTTATCTACGCACCAATTCTTCCAAACAGAGAGCCAAAAACTAGTGCTTTTCGCAGTGTTTTCGTTTTTAGAGCAGTTTTTCAGCTCCTCTACAGTTGTTTCGGTCGCAAAAGCAAATGTGCTGCAAACGCCAACCATTGCATGTTTTTGCTCGAAACTGGCCCGGAGCGGATCTAAATTTTGCGCCATTTAGATGGCGCATTTGATTGGCTCCCAGTGAGTTCCTTTGTTCATTAGCCAATCAGAATGTCACGTTTGTTACTCTTTTCCGCACTAGATTATCTTTGTTCTGCACTCAGTTACTTTTTTTTCTGCACCGTGTTACCTAAAAACTGCATTTCTCCTAGCCAATCACAATCGAGGAATTCTTTCATGTATATTATTAATGTTAATAATTAATGATGACTAAGGTACGACACAGCTTTGGCACAATTGAAACCCAACCTTCATTCAATTTATTGATTACTTCTTTCGTAAAAAATGACAAGTTTAAGAGATACACATCCAAGTTCTTCGAATGTACCAAAGGTCTCATATCGTGTCCTCGATCTTTCTTCGTTCACGGTATTTGCATCACTTCACCCTGCGAATAAAAATACATTATTTCTAAAAAATTCCGCGATTTTGTTCAGTTATTATGACACACTTTTCCTTCACAGTTACAGCCAGCTTTCTCTCTAAAACTGGGTCAGGACCTCAGTTAGTCAGTCAGTCAGCCAATCAATCAATCAATCAATCAATCAATCAATCAACTAATCAATCAATCAATATACAGTCGAAACCTCGATCATCCGGACTTCCTAACCGGACTTTCAGGTCTCCAAGATATTTCCTCCAGACCCGCCGAGTTCGGTGTCCGATCGATGTCCGCACCTCCGCTCTTCCTTTCTTACCCATTAAATAAAAAAAATTAAAAACTAGCACCAAAAACTGTACCAGAAACTTGTGTATTTTTATCTGTTGACTTATTTCATATCTTCAAAATATAACTTACAAAAGAGTAGGCACAACATGTTCCTCCAGAGCAAGATCCGTTAGTGCCAGTGTAAAAAGGTGTATTTGTATAGCACGTCGCCCTACAAAATGACCCCATCGGACACTCGTCGCGCTTTGGAAGCTGAGAAAAATACGGATCTGTGTCACATTTTGTTAAATTCCTTTTTTCCTTTTCTCTTTTTTGGCTTCTAAAAGGGGGTACTCAGGATAATATTTTCTTAAAAATTATCCGCTACCACTCTACTTAAACTATAAGTAGGATCCTTTGGCTTTCACTAATATTTATTAGAAATTCCATCGGGCATATTATGACTTCAAAACTGAGCTGAAAGTTTACTCGTTTCCTCAAGAGGAACGCAATGAAAGAATAACTCGAGAGTGGTTGGAGAAAAATTAGCCTCCACAAAGGTGACAAACATCATGTTCAAAATCAAAAACAAGGAGGACTGCAGACGCCGTTACCTCACTGTCTATAGCGTCGTTGGTCTTCAGCAACTGCGTCAGCTTGTTGGAGGAAGTGCAAGTGATTGACAGCAAAGTAACTAAGGTTACAAACAGCATTTTCATGGCTGAATATCAAAGGAAACAAATAATTGTTATAGCTTTAAGTAAAAGAAGCGTGGCATGTTTATATTTACCAGAATTGTTTTTTTCCGTTTGGAGGGGTAGAACACTTACTCCTGCTGACTGATTAGTATTTTTGTTCAAAGAGCTAATCTAGCGTTTTATAACAAAAGAATTAGAAGGCAAACCGAAGATTCGGAGAGCATTATCCATGTGATGCGGGATGTGCTAATAACCATTGCACGACTATAAAATGAAAGTTACATATGAAACAAAATGTTTTGCACGGATAAAGTTCACGTATAATTCTTTATTTTCACGTGCAATGAACCATGAGTATACCTTGATGATGCTGTCATAGCGGCGACATTGAAACGTTGTGCAAAACCTTTTTTCGCTGATTTTCATGTTATCTAAACATGATTCTAAACCCTCAAATATAATATACATTGTACCAACGGCTCTTGCTAGATAGGCTGAATGACTGTGGTATTGAAAATTATTTTTCTGCAAGATTGTTAATGTCATTCTTGCACGAAATAAAAACAACTTGTAGGGGATTTCACGACTAGCGATATGCATTGTTGGCTTTTGATTTTGAGGCCGCTTTGAACAAGACCGCCCGGGATACATATTTGCCCTTTGAGTTGTTAAAAACTAAGAATCAAGAAGAAATTGTTTCTAAAAAAATAAGGATACGACTATCCTCTCCTCAGATGAAAAAGATTCAAAAATTAAATCCAAGCTGTAAAAGGACAAAGCAGTATATTTTTCGCGACACAAAATTAAACAATACAATGGGAGGTTCGCGGTAATATTACTGTTTTTAACCTTACAGGCCCCTCCAATTTAAAATTAGTTTAGCTTTGCGTTTTTTTTCCAGCTCGTGAAAGCGATGTATTCACAGGGCGCCTGCACAATGTGTTTGTGTAACCGACTGTGTTTGTGTAACCGATTTTATAGCAAATGTACTGGATATACCGTTTGCTTCACCTATGGCGATTTATTTCTATAATCAATATTAAATAAACGTTGAATTACCTTACCTGTGGTATATTGTCGCCCTTTTTTCTCAAAAAACCGCTTTTGAGGCACAAGGATATACCACAGGAAAGGAAATTCAACGTTTATTTAACATTGATTTGTACACATACTTAGCGATATATCGTCATAGGTGAAGCAAACGGTAAATCCAGTACATTTTAATATAAAATAACAATCGGTTACACACACACATTGTGTGGGCTCTCTCTGATGTATTTAACTTTTTTTATTTCAGCTTAGATAATTGTAAAATCATGACATGCTGAATTAGAATATATGTATAAAAGTCTATTATTGTAACTCTTCACCCATCTTAGGTAACCTGTTTCTTGTCCTCAGTTTCGTTCTACTTTTTTATTCAACATTTAATTGTAACTAACCTGGGAAATGTTGATCATCCAAGCTCCTCAAAGTCCAATAATTTTAGCACACCGAAATAGGATATATAAGATGGTGGTTGCCGTGTACAGGAATGCTATTGGTCAGTCGGTATGATCTGACAGGTATGGTAGTTTTTTCCATTAATTAAAGACAAATTTACCTACACTTGCATTTTAAATTTGTTGTTTCCATAGCCGCGAGAAACTTAAAAACTAGCACGCCTCAAAAAATAAAACATTTTCAATTAGCCACGGGTGAAAAAAAAATAAAAATAAAATAAAAATAAAGTAAATGAATAAAAATAAAAAAATAAAATAAAAACAAGTTTTACAGTAGGTAACTTTTTTGCACTTATATAATTAAATCGAACGAGATGAAAGTGTAACGAGACAGTTACCCTGGCATTCCCGAATTTCTCCTCATTTTAATGCAACGTGTTTTCAAAGCAGATGAGGTTACCCTGGTGCGAGGGTAAGCCGCGTAGCTTAGCCATTTGGGGTCGGATTGTTCAAAGCTTGGTTACGAATACCCCTGAGGTTTAGTGCGAAATTTGAATTCAGGTATGAAAGCTTAAAAAGCACATTCCGTTCAATTCCTTTTGTTCATAATTTGATCATTGGATGCCTTAAAAATAAGTAAAATTAGCCGAGAAAACGTTTTTGCCGAAAAAAGGAAAAGAAAACCGGATTAACATTTAACCACTGGTTAGCGATAATCGGCCTTCGAAGAACTGGGCCTAGGGTCATCCTACCTGCCTTATAAACTTAATTCCTTTCATTCGTTTTCTTGCCGTTTGGAGTAACTGGAGTAAGTTTACACACACTCAGGCTGCCCAACCATAGGGTTCAAGTGTTTTGCCTTTAGTTATTAACAATCCTTCGCGAGCCTTACGGATACTGTCCCTGTCTGAATTAATTAGTTGTAGCGGAATGAGTTCTATGTCCCTGATGTAATGTTCTGGAAGAGAGAAGTGGTCTGAAACGACGGTAGGATGATTTTGTTTCTCCGACGTATTGCATATTACATTTATTGCACTGGATCATGTAAATGAGATTTGAAGATGAACAGGAGATGTGATATCGGATGTGTTGTTGTTCCTTGCTGGAGAAGAAGGTGTAAGACGTGGTTCCTTTTGTAATAAAAGAATACGTCTCACGAGGATGTCACGTAGTTTATTGCAGTGGCGGTAGGATATAAGAGGAGGAGAAGGAAGTGCTTCTTTGCATCGTTGTGAAGACTGAAGAAAGCGCTCTTTTAGAATTCCGTTGTATACATGACACACTACAGTGTACAAAATTTACCCCTCTACAGTTCCAGCTCGTGAAATTTTGAATCTGCGCTGAATTCTTGGACACAAAATTGTCGAAAAATTCAAGTTTGAGATTCCCGAATATGTCTCTACTAAACCACGAGTTCCACGCAAGATATGTAATTATGGTAATTTTGGTTAATAATATTCCACGCTTTAATTTTGTTCAGTGAGCTTTACGCTATGGACACACATACCGGATAGCTTTTCGTGCCGACCCGAAAAGTTAAATAGCTGTAGTGTGTACACCTCCACTCTAGAGATCTAAGGGGCGCAGCTTCGCTCCGTCTCAGAAATCGCGCCGCGACAACCGTCCTTGGCATCTGAACAGAAGCCCTATCTATGGTATTCGTGGCGACGCAGTCTGAGCACCCGGGAGGGGGGTGGGGGGGTTACTTTAGGGATTTCTGGGTGGAGATGTGCCGCTGGGATCCTGGAACCCTTAACCAGTTCTTTAACCTATACCAGAACTAGTTCAGCTGAATTTTGCTACCCTATACTAGAGTAAACTCCCGAAATCCCCCCTATCCTAGAGTACCTGATCAGTTTCCTGAAAAATGACACCCTATTCTAGACCCAAACGTTCTGATTTATATACACTATCCTAGAGTAGACTGCTTGAAAACCATACCCTTCACAGCGGCACATTACCTATATAGCCCATATACGGCAGTACCCCTTCGGGTCTGAGTATAGCCTCAATGTTTTCATGGATTTTTGAAGCAAAAAAAAAACGTACATAGAGTTTTGCTATTATATTTGGTCGAAAATTTTAAAGACTGTACCTTTGTGTTACTTTTAATTGATTTGAGAATCCCTGAAACAAGGTTTACTACCATTCAGGGCTCGTTTGCTACTTGATTTTGTTCGCAGTCTCCGTGCCATACATGCACGTAAATACTATTATTGTACATTGTACTCACTATCTTTCTTCTCATTGGCTAAGAACCTACAGCTAATTTTGGAAATCAGCGCAACCTACAGATTAGTTAGTTATCTGCTAGCAGATAACTGACTAATCTGTAGGTTGCGCGCGCAATGCATGATTTTCAATAACAATATCAATTCAGGTTCCTAGCGACGGTGTGACGTGATTGCCGTTATTTTCTTCAAAACAATGTATAATACTAGTCATAGACTCCATGTGGTTGTCCATGTATTTGCCATGAACCTTTGAAACGTGGACCACTGTTTCAAGTTTCTCATCTTTGAGATCTTTCTCTGTTCACTTTCTCTGATCCTTTTTTCTTCTCTATTAACTCCTGAATACCTTAATGTAGAACAAAAACCCGATTATTTCACATTAGCACCTTTCTTGTTTTTGACTGGGTTTTGAAATATTTGAGGTATTCCTGATGTGGTTTGAATCGAGTCTGTCGATCCCCGTTGCTGATTTGTTTCTGACAAATCAAGTTCAGTCCTGTCGATCCACGTTGCTGATTTGCGTCTGACAAATCAGGACAAATCAAGCTCTTTAATACCAAACAATTCCAGCGCTGCTGAATAGCTTTTTAATGAAAAGAAACCGGAAAATTGATGTGCTACAAGACACTCAATGATAAAAATACTCACCTTATCGCTTGGAGTGAAATCCTGACACAATTCGGCGAATGCGACTCGTTGCCAAACCCAGTTTGCGCGGTTGCTGAGCCAGGCGCACATGCTGATGCATTAGGGGTGCCTCCTCGGGTTCCGGCCCAGAGGCCGGAACCCTGAGGGGGCAAAAACAATTATTAGTTTCTGTTTTTGTGATATCCTGAATAATCAAGGTCTCGGTAAGTGTTTTCAGCCTCGGCCTTCGGCTCAGCTGATAACACTTAGCTCGAGCTTGATTATTCCGGATATCACAAAAACCTCATCCAATAATTGTTTATTATTAATATCATTCATTCATCTCTTATCCAGTTATGACGATCTCGCAAACCAGTCGATTTCAGTCATTGTACTTAGTGCCTACGCTTTAAATATATAAATGCACAACACTATGAAGCCAAGGTGTTGCCCTCGACCTTAAGCGATACGATAAAACGGGCAACAAAAAATGTGCAACTTGTTTTGCAATATTGCTACAAAACGAGTTGAATAGCGATTAGGCTTTCAGTGACAGACTGCCTCGGAAAAGAGCAAAATACGTGACCTCAATAGTTAAAATTTGAACCTGCAATACAGTCAGGTGATGATGGTCAGCAGATGCTCTCGTTTGACAGCTGTCAATTAACCTTCATTAGAATGGTGAATATTCAAATTAACGGACTGTTGACTACGAGTGTGAGTAATACATTTCAGTCCGGCTTGTAGTGGGGGACGAAATGCCAGATCGTGTACCTGAGCGGACCTAAGCCCATGTTATTAGTTTTCTAATAATGGTCTGCACATGTCCCATTTTGAAAGCTGTCAATTGACCTTAAAGGTCAAATGAACCAAAAATTCGACATTTTTTATTTTAGTTCAATTCTAGTGAAACGTGTTTAATATGAACCAAATAAACATACTATGAAGTTTCAGCTCAATTGAAGCAAGTATCTCCGAGATATTCGCAATTAAAAATTGCTGTTTTTTGGCCCTCATCTTCGTAGAGCGGTCGGAAAAATTGTCGGAAAAAACATCTTGTGACGTCAATGTTGGTCAGGTGAAAAAAAGCGGGAAATTCAAAACAGAGTTTTTCGAGTCGACTTTGCGCAGAAGTGGTTTGTGCGGCGATAAATCTGGAAAGAACAGGTAATTTGTCTTCAAAAGTTGCAAGCTGTGGTTATAACCTTCTTATTATTTAATTTTCTCGAAGAATACATCATAGTAAAACTGACTTGAACGACATTTACTAATTTCCTTGAGTTGTATTGGAAATGTGCGTGTGTAAGTCCGAGTTTTTTCAAGATGCATTCAAAAAATGTGTTCATATAAGGAAGTTCCTGGATATATAAGGTCCGGAGCTCCACCGTGGACACAAAAACAAAATATCTTTGTATAATAATCTGCCCAAAGAAATTCAAGTTTGCCCACAATGTGTTTGAAGTCACTGAACTTTGTCGCACTGGAGCTGATATTTTAAAACCCACGCTCGATCGGACACTTCTAGCTTCGCAGATCACTAAAATATAAACAAAATCCTCAATGTAGAAGTTTTGGCGTTGATATGTGGGCAGAAAAAGAGTTAATCTTTATCTAGTAAATCTTCCCCAAGATCGGTTTCAAAGCAACCATAGTTTTTTAAACTAGATCGTTTCGCGCAGATTAATTTAGGTTTGTGTTGTCAAATTGAACATGCATAACACCTGTTAAAAACCTACGCGTAAGTAAGATTTCCTTCCAACAAAGTTAAAGTTACATTATTGCAAAAACCTCTTTGCAATTATGTTTAAGATTTAATTACCGATTGAGGTCACTTGAAGGACCATAGACGCCACTTTAAGCTGGCAAAGAGATGCGTCAAGCAAAGAACAATTTCATCATGCATAAAATTCACCTTAAGTGAACTAAAAATGCTTCAATAAGGTTGCAAAACATCAAATTTTCATTTAAAAAAAACATAAGGCTTAAGGCTCTTATACCTGATGACAAAGAAGAAGTGAATTTTCTGTACGGAAACAACTTACTTAAAGATCTTAAAAGAAAAAGATCAGTTGCAAGCGTCGCAGCCAAGCCATGATTCCGACTACTTAGCTAGATTAGCTACATTTTTTAAGTAATAACTGGTCCATGCGAGGGTCTACATTCAAGCAAATTAAACTCAGCGAACTGAATCATTAGAAAATACAGAAAATTGCACATAACGATTTGTTTTGCTTGCTTCAGTCAAATCCAGCTCCAGCAATTGTTTACGGGCAAAGAGTCGATTGTTTTGGAGTCACTGCCGGCAGTTGTCGTTCTCCGCTACTTCACAGCGTGAGAAAGGAAAATTTGCGTACAGAAAGATAACAAAACTATGTAATTGAAACTGAAAAAACTACAGGAGAAAAACTCTGACTATTATTACTTGAGCAACAGAAAAATGATCGAAGTAGTCTTTTCTTCTCGAGTAAGCTTGTTGGCCTTCTAAAGTTCCGAGGAAGTTTTAAGCGCTCAAGTTTGTTCACTCGCAAGCGTTAGCGAACTGATTACGGTTCTTTGACATAAGACACGGATAAAGCTGGTTCTGCAAAGGTAAATAAATCTGGGCATTTAAAAATACTAACCGTAGCTACTAATAACAGAATACAAGCGGGTTTTAATTCAGTCCGGCGAAAGAAGGCGAAGCACTGGACACAAAATCAATTCACAAATCGAATGCACAATTTCAGAAAAATACAAACCTCTTTGGAAATGTTCAAAACGTTTTATTCCTCTTCAGACTGACGGATGATCTTTTTTACTCTAACATTGGTTGTTCTGAATCCAAGGTAATTTTCAAGTGACGAAAAAACAACAACAACAACAAAAACAAAAAAAAAGCCTTTACAAGGAGCAAACGTTCGCACTTCGTGTATTTCCTTCAGTCTCAGTCAGACTCCGAGACAAACAAACGCAGTCGATGAGGGATGCGCAGAAGCTTGCGCAGAACGTTTTTCCGCCCTGAAAGACCAACATTGACGTCACGTAGTCTCCAGTCTATCACGCGGCCATTTCAGAAACGTTTTCGTGAAGTTTTCGGAAATGCTCGGATTTTGATCTTTTATCTTTCTATAAAGGCTTGGGAAGAAAAATCTTTACCCAAATCTCACTAAGGATGGTTCTTTTTAGTGTTTGGTGAAAGTAAAGCGACAAAAGAAAATATGTCAATTTTTTGGTTCATTTGACCTTTAAAGGCAGAGTGTCCCGATTATGCGCACGCGCGAGCTTCATCTATTTTTTCTCCAAAAGACAATAGAACTGTCATATTGACTCGACAAGATTTCCCTCTGGACCGCACTGCGGACGGAGATTTGTAATATTTTAGGCTTTCGAAGAAGTCTCTCGCCTTATTTATATTTTGGCTCGCGGCACGAAGACTCATCGCGATTTTATCGCTAGCAGGGCCACCTCGAGACCCGAAAATCTCGTTCCGCTCGCTTTAAAAACAGCTTTTCTAATGTGAAACTCGTGTCAGAGGTTAACTGTTCCAAGTCCAGTAATATTTGCCTGATTTGCTCGCGTTCTAGCCTAAAACGTTTGAAAGATATAAATAAAAATGCAATCTCAAAGCTATGAATCATCGCAAAGGTTAGTCGAAAATTAGCGGATGCCTGATTTTGACAGATGTCAATCTAATCATACTCATACGGATGGCTTACATAACTGACAGGCTAGCGTCAAGTTGTGCAAGATCTAGTGTGACATTTGACATCGGCTTACATGAAATGTGTGTACAGATGCGCGTACGCTACGTCATAACCAAATTCTTTCTCAGATGGATAGTTTACT